TTTGAATATAAACATGCCATTTGTTTCATTCTTCTATTTATCTTTGTTCAGAAGTAATTTAATTTTAAAATCAGGGGCCGATTAGTGGACATGCTGTATGATGAACTAAACAATAGAGATGCTTCTGGGATTCTTCAAATTATCTTTATAAAATTTTGTAGCCAAATTTGCTTGTTTGATATGAGCCATCAAATTTGCGAGATTATTTGAATAACAAAGTAAACTATTAGAAGCCTAGAAATTTGCAAGATCTTAGTCGGCACTCTAAATAATCTGGAAAGAAACAACTGCTGCCATGTGGAATTGCTCCAGGGAAAATGGTGGCCATTTCACACTGTAGTATGTGAATGTACTGCATTTATGTACAACTGAAACAAAATAAAGTATGATTTTTACTTCCTTGTATATGAAGTAAAGGAAGTTTAGTAATCTAAAAAAATTCCAGGTATCATACTTCAACGATTCATTTCGACGACTATTGAATACAATTTAATGACGGTTTTGCGTGATATCTGTATGTAAGGACAGAATAAAGAACTCTTTTTTCCCCCCAAACGAATTATAAAACTGATTAAAATGGATTCAAAAGAGATTTTTCTCGTGGTGTCTGTATGTAAGTGTGTCGCATAACTCAAAAACAAGTAGCCTCAGATTATTGAAATTTCGTATGTATGACTGCTATAACATGTAGTTGTGCACCTCCCTTTTTGGTTGCAACCACCCACACCAAAAGTATTTAAATAAATATATACATACAGGGTGGTTATAATTAAAGTTCCACTTTCAAATGGTCATAAGAGGAAGCCTAGACCAAATATTATCAAACTTGGTAATTGTGTAAAAGAGGTCATGGGAATTAATTTGCCGTGAAAGAAAAAAGTTAAAAAACATACCACTGGGGGGGAATGGCACTGTAAGCAATATAGTTAAATGAAATAAGGGTCGGAATCTAACTTAACCTTTTGTTACACAGGTTTAACATGTTGTATACCCTTAAGAAACATTGATCTAAATAAAATTACCATTTAAAGGAGTAAAAGTCGAGTGCGCCATCCATGTACCAGAGAACTTCGTCTGTTAAAACCACAAATTAGCAATTAGAAAATCTGAGATCGCAAATGTGCGGTGTTCTGAAAATTTTTTTCTTACAGATCTCCATTTTGTGATTTTTGAAGCCTGAATTCGACCCTAAGACATGAAGATATGGGTTTAAAACATTTTTAATCGTTTCTAAACCAAAATTGTGGGATGAGACAAAACCTGCAGTGGCTTACAGTTGGCTTTCGGCATGAAGAAGCTAATGATTTATACAAAAAATTTAAACAATTTGGCGTAAATGAAAGATGCGATACATCGACATGTTCGTAACATTCCTCCTGATATGCTAAGAGCTGCTGTTCAGAATGCAGTAATACAATTTAACTTGCCTTCGGAAAATGATGGACGCCACATTGAACATGCTTTGTAACAGGTTTTGGAAATTGATTAAACACATTTTAAACCTATGTCTTAACGTCTTATTTTGTTTAACAATATTGCACACAGCGCCATTTCCATCCCTGGTGGTGAAATTTTGAAGTTTTTCACGGAAAATAAATTCCCATGACTGCCATTTCAAGATTACCAAGTTTGATAACATTTGGTAAAGTAGTTTTCTTTTTATGACCATTTCAAAGTGGAACTATAATTTTAATCCACCCTGTATATACCCACTCTTTTACTCGGCTTTTGTGAGCTCAGTTTTTTTATTATGTGTTGGTAAATTGCACATTTTCTGCTTTAAAATGATTGAATCATGTTGTTCTTATCTTCCTATTAAGGCTTTTAATCAATCTGCATGCAATAGTTGTAGAATTTTCAACAATTTAAAAAGCTGTTTCAAGTGTGGCTAAGCCTAATTTTTCTTACCATAGCAGCCATATTTGTTTACTGCAGAATAGTGAATTAAGTCTTTCTGCACCTTCAGTGTCTTTTCGTGGAGTGGGACCAGAAGGGTTGGTTTACTTAATTATGGCAAAGCACACTAGGACTGTCTGCCTAAGGGGAGGGATGCATTCGTGGAGGACTTTCTATGGGAAACTGGCTCGTATACACGTTACACACGGGGAAAACCACGGAAACGCCCATGCAGCCAGCCCGTTCGCGGGATTCAAACCTCGGACCGAACTACCAGTTTTCAGCGACTTTACCGCTCGGCCGCTGGTGGGCACGGGACCAGAAGGAAACTTTTAGTTTTGTGCACTGAAAAATTTGCCTGCTGGCCGAATTTCTTGTTTTTGCGCAGTCTAATTTTGTAAAAAAATTTTTTAAAAAATTTGTTTTAACTGTATTTGGTGTTTTATGTTTTTCTATATCTTTCAATTTTTAACCTTTTACATGCCAAACTATGATGCGAAAGTAAAATAAACATTTTGTTGTGAAAAATTGATTTAAAGTTCAAATATAAGAATTATGAAACAAGAAAAAAAATTTTTTAAAAAAAATTAATGATTTATGACATGTTTCATAAATGGAACATTGGTGGGAAGCAGTTAGTTTTTGATTATCAACATTCTATGTTATTCTCTAGTTAGGAACTTGTGAAAAATCTCAACTGGAGATAAAGTAACTAATTCGGGAAACTCTTTGCAAATATTTTCAATGCTGTCAGTTTTTAGAATTTTGTTAAAATTTAAATTTTTCCATCTGATAACTTTTCCTGCTACAGATTTTCACTGTGTATGGATAGCCATTATTAAAGCACAACATGCATATTTTATAACCAAACTGAATTAGTTTACATCGGATGAATATTTTAGCCAAATGATGACCATCGATTCATCTATACTTAACTTAAAATGGAAGATGCCGAACTGTTGAAAGTTTTTTTCCAGTTCCTCATAAAAAGGAAAAACTTTTCCTGTCTTATCTCCTAATGCCAACTTAGTATTATCTATAATATGAAAATATTTTTTCAGTTTTCGAAATCTATTTCTTGGCATTACAGAAGAAACTACTGGGACAGATAAATCTTCTTGAGTGCTCCAGTATAAATCTTCGCCGGGTACTCGATGATACCCGCTAAACAACACTAATCCAAAAAAATCTGTCCAATATCGTTTTCATCTACAGCTAAAACTTCTTTCTGCATTGCGTAAAGACCTGTCATATTTGCTAAATGCAGCAAATATTCTCTAGTTAGGAACTTGTGAAAAATCTCAACTGGAGATAAAGTAACTAGTTCAGGAAACACTTTGCAAATATTTTCAATGCTACCAGTTTCTAGAATTTTGTTAAAGTTTAAATTTTTCCCTCACCCCCACTCGACGTTCAATGTTTTTCTCTTTCGCATTTAGTTTTCGCTTCAAATTCTTCCTTCCCTTTGAAGATGAAGGTTCTTGAGGATTTCTTGAGATATTTCATCATCATTTATTTTATTAGAAATTTCGAATTTCCACACACATCTGCTGGCAGAAAAGGCTCAAAAATATCTTCATTTACATCTTCCTCATCTGTCAAACATCCAGTTTCTTCTGGAGGCAGTTGACAAATATCAATACACTCTTCATCATCTGATATTGTAGAAAAATATTCCAATGTTTCTTTAATAGTCTGAAATGCTTTTGAATGAGCCATCTTATCAGCGTAGCGTATCTTCACAAACTGGGAAGAAAAAAAAAAAGCAAACAAAGGGGAAAATAATGAAATCCATACTCCAAAATATACGCCTTTTTCACCGAGTCATAAACAACCTCTAGCGTCTAGCCTATCAAGAAACGCCACATGCTTTTCTGTAGCAGCTGTGAGTAACTCACTTCACACCCTTATGGGAATGTGTGAAAGGTGAGGAGGGGGATATACGGGAGTCAAAAAACAGATTAACAGTCATAAACATCTATTTTCCACATTTGGAAAAAATCTTTCTCCATGCCTCTACTCATGGCAATCAAAGTAATTTCATCATGTTAAAAAATATACCTTTACATGCCAATGTTCCCTTTCTGGAACATCCGCATTTTCTTACCTCATAGTAAAAAAATAATCATCTTCTATGATAACTTACTGTCTATGCATAAATGATCCTTTTTAATATCCTCCTTGAGTTTTTAGAAACATTTGTTGAATTTTTAATTTATATATGAATTTCTGAATTTTGCTCTTAGAAAAGAAGGAAAAAAGTTGAAATAATGAATTTTTTTTATCAAGATAATTTTTCTTTTAGAAGAATTATATTGCTACTAAACCATCAATCCATATTTACTTTCCATGTAATAATTTATACAAAGCAATATTAATAAAACTGTTTTTTTATGAAATTTTAAATTTGATGTTCCATTTATAGAACATTTGACGTGTAAAAGGTTAATGAAGATATTTTGAGTTTTTGTGTACTTTTGCCTTGCTGTGAAGTGAGAACTGAATGAGAAATACATCTCTAATAAAATTTGAGGAAATAAAGAGTTTCGTATTAGCAGCAAATATTGTTGCCAGTCTCTGACAGAGGAGAATGTTTATGAGTAACGCATGCACATTAGTTAAGTGGTGCTGAATCATCTGTGAAAAACTGCTTCTTTATTTGTTTAATTTTTTTATACATCGTTTTAATTTATTAGAGTATTTGAATAGAACATGTGGGAATGATTAGATAATTCTACAGATGATATAATTTTGGTGCATTCTGAGTTATAAAATGAATGAGATGTAATGCTGTTAAGTGAATCTAGCACCAGAGTATCGCTATGGTAAATAAATATAGTGAATTTTAAAAAGTTCATTTATTCTATTGTGGTTTATGCGCTATCGAAGAAGTAGATTTAATTCAATTCAATAAGTTTAAATGAAATGCAGGAAAAATGTGTATAATGTAATATTCCGTACAAGGAAGTCGTGGTGTTCACATCAAATTTTTTAGATTAGAAAAGAAGGAAAAAAGTTGAAATAATGAATTTTTGAATTGTATTATGTAAATACAGATATCTGAAACTTGAGTGCAACCCTTTAGGACAAAATGCACCAATATGTAGTTGGTACTATAAAAATAATTTTATTTATTCACATATTTACATATGATTAAAAGTATTTAGCTTTCTTAACATTTCTCTGACTATCATTATAAGAATCTTTATGCTTTAATTTCTTTTGCTTCTCCTGTATCAATGCCAGATTTCCCTCTGTTTTCTTGAAATGAGGATCTGATGGATCAATATTAAACAAATGTGAAGTGTATATAGCTGAAAACCTTGGATCATTTACATCACACTGGAAAGAAATAAAAAAATTTATTTTATCATTCTCTGTCAACACTGAAAAAATATTAAAAATCATGTGTTTTTCTGGTATGAATAAATTCTGTCGGGGTATTTCAGCCCCTTTTGATATTTCCAGTCAATAATCATACATAATTTAGAAAAACAATTTTTGAATGACATAACTTTTTTAACATTTTATAAATTGAAGTAAAATAGAAGCAAACCTTAAAATCTTCAGATTCACATAATTTCGATTTCTTCTTTTCTTTTTTCTTTTTAGATACATTTTCTATAATATCTTTTCTCCGAGAATCAGAGAGTAGAGATAATTCAGCCTACAAAAATTATGATGTTTTATATTCATATTCATAAATAACTGCTCATAAAATGTATTGAAAATAATTGTACAAAAATACATCACATTTTAGATTTCATATTACAGACAATATTTTATGTCATGCTAAATCTATATGAATATAAAGTAAATGGCATTTGTTACATTGGCATTTACATTAGGATTGCATTTTAAAAACATTGACAAATATAATAAAATAGTTTTCTCTCATGAAAAATGAAACATTGAAATATCAAAATATTCCTGATCTAGGTGCAGAGTTTTCACTGAAATTCAACTTTGATTTTCCTATTCTTCTATGAGAAAATGGGACAATTTCCTGAGCAAGTATAATGAACTGGTTATGAAATTAAATATATTGTTGTTACTTATGGTCACTTGTCTGACAGTAACATCGGCTCAAGGCCACGGAATACTTTGTGGCAAGGGTCCCTATCGTTGCAACAGCCTTAAGCAGCATACAGGTGACAATGCTATTTAGCTTAGTTCCGCCCCCAATTTTGACAGACAGCACCCCAGGAGAATGGGTCCAAGAGTCTCCCACCCCTCTCCCCTTCCACCAAACCACATGTGAGGACTCTCAGCTCACTGCATATTTAGAGTGCCTTTATGTCGCACACACTATATACATTTACAAACATCCATGCCTTCTGCAGGATTCGAACCCGAGCCCTTTGGCACAGCAGTCGGGAACACTAACCAGTAGACAGGCTGGGCGGCGAAATTAAGTATGAATAACTGAATAATTTTATTTAACTACAAGATACAATGAAATAAGCATGAACATCCTAAAATTTTATTTGATTCATTACTGTGAAGGTAATGAAAGAAAGTGTAGGAAACATACAATTAAAAAAAATACTTTTGTAAAATATAATATCAAATTCTAGGGGAAAAACATTATTCATTTGTGAAGGAAAAAGTAGCAAAAGCACATATTTGCAATAAATATTACTCCTTACGGTGTTTCAAAATAAAACTATACAGCTAAGAATTGCACTGTACTGTGGGAGAAAAATGTGTAAATGATATGGTTATTGATTTTAACATAAAACTCTACAGCATAAAGACTTCTAAATTCCACTAATGATTTTTAAATAAGGCATTTACTAATGAGAATGTGTCAGAACAGTAACAATGGAAGAATAAACAACAGCTTTCAAGGCAAGCACACAGGAGAGCTCTGGGTTGATTAACTGTTTCAGATAAGAGTTAAGCTAAAACATTTTGAAACATGGTACATTAGAAAGCTGCACATCAATATGAGCATTAATAATTGACAAATTTAAACATTTATTTAGTACTGATTTTTTTCCCCCTTGATGTGTTTCTACAGAGATGGCATTTACTTTTTCAGGAGCAAATTATTTCACTGAATAAAATTTATATAAAAATTTCCCTTTAACAATATCAAGTCCACTTCCACATGGACAAACTTAATGCTACAATATGAACATAGCATCATAAATTACATGACTGAATGATTAAAATCTAATATTCATAGTAAGTATCATAAACTACATTTTAGGCATAATTTACTATCTATATTTAAATTTCAAATTTTAATGATAAGGAAAACAGGAATAAGATTCTAAAGTTATTAAATAAAACTTACTAATTGTTTTACATCTCGTTCTTCCATTTTCTTCTCTACAGGTTTCTTTTCTATAAGGTAATAACATATATGTATATGATTTTTTTTTAAAGTAAGAAGAACAAAATGGTGAGCAGAGGGTACTTCACAAAAAAATCAGTAACATATCATTTTTATACATCCAGTACTCAAATAATAATCAAATAATGATATCTCAAATCCAATTTTGCAATTTGGCTTAAATTTTTATTAGGTAACAAATTTCTTAATAAAAATTTAAGCCAAATTGCAAATTTGGAAAGTAACAAATTATGTGCATATGCCTATTGTATTTAACTGACTAAGCTTATGTATTTTCATTTATCAAACACTAATTGCTTAGCTTTATAAAGAAACCAGTTTTGAAAAATAACAAAGTACATGATTTTTCAAAATCACATAGTGTTTAATGTGATTGTGAACTGATGTTGAAATACTTTTTCATTGTATTGTTCATTTCATTTCAAGCAATCTTATACAAAACATAAATATTTGCCTGCTCAAATTGAAAGGCTTCTAAGTGTAACAAGTGATTTTTCATAAATAAGTAAAAACACCCACTCATTGCAGACATAAGATAATATTACTGAATTAATTTAATTTGTGGATATCTATACGCCTTTTCTTTTTTTCAAAACCAGTGATGGTTCTTTAGCAAAATCATATTTCCAAGAAAAGTAAAATAATCTTTGATAAGAGAGAAGAGCTGTGCCAGAAGATGACAAGTATATCACTAAGAAAAATGGAGCTGTAATTTTTACACATTAATAATAAGCTTGAAGAAATTTATAGAAAATAACCTTTTAGTGGGTCATAACAAGCTAACTAAAATCAGCTATTAGTTATTTTCTGTATAGTTAAAAAACTAGATGCCAATGACATAAAACTTCGTTTTATATATTTTTTGTAAATCCATCAGAGAAGAAATTTCATTCACTATTTTGTAACTGCATGTATATGTAAGCAATTTTTTTAAATATTATATAAAAAGCTTAACACAGAAGCCTTAAATATGATCTATATCTGGCAGCATTTCAGAAATGAACATTTGAGTGAGGGGAAGTACCACATACAAGCAGACTTTTAATCCATACAGATTTTTTTCACTAAAATCTTGGAAACATTTTTAACTGTTGGTATTGATTAAATTAATAAGAATGTATTGCAAATAGCATGGAAAAAGTTTTTAAGGCTACAGAAACGCTAAAACACGGATTGATTTACTTACTCCACACACTTGCTCAAGTGTTCTTGATATTTTAAGAATCAATATCTTGTTAGATACCTGACTTAGACTGGCTATTTCAATATATGGTTAGCTTGAATTGTCTGAAAGCTGTGACCCTGCAAAATCTCTTTGATAAGGGAGAAGAGCTGTGCCAAAAGATGACAAGTATATCAAATAAGGTGGTTGTGGCTTCGAAGGCTGAGGTTTAGAAGCTCAAGCATTTTTGCTCAAAATATGACATGTTGAATGCTCAAAAGATCCTTTTACTTTGTTTGCACTACAACATGAACTATGCTATCCTAAAAGATGTTATATCATACCCATTTCTTCTGTAAAGTGTATGCTTACTCTTCCAACAGCCAAATTATTACAGACTTCATGCATGAGATTATTTTTTTACAAATGTTTTAAACAATTTTTCAAAGGATTATTCCAAATGTTTAGCAAATGTATGCTATTAAAATTGCAAAATCATGGACTGAAACTTAAATCTCACTAAAAGATTGTTCCCGATGCTTAGCCAATCAAAATAAAGCCATTAAATTTTGTCTGTGAGGAGTTTACTGTATCTAAAAGACTGTATCTATATGAGGAATTTACTATAACAAAAATTTACCAAAAAGGTTGGTCTTGAACTTGAATTAAAAGCTTAAAAGGAATTTTTTAATTACTGATAGAGGTTGGCTGATGAATCTTAGTTATTGAAAAAATACAAACACAGTACAAAGTCTGTAATCCGGACCTCAAAGCTACAAACTTTATGCGCATACGCATAATGTGTTTATGCATGCGCGTTTAATGTATAACGGATGGTATAAACTAGGCTAAAATTATCTAAGGCATTTCAGTTAATGTTGCAGATTACGCTGTTCCTTAATCTTCTAATTGGATCTGGCTTATTATTTTTTGCAGACTGTTAGAACAATTTTATAAAAATTAAGCTTGAACTTTCGATTATGTCAAAAAGAGTTTCCAATTCTGGAGCTGCCAAAGGATCTACAAAGTGAAAGGATGTTTCAATGTCCATTAAACAAAAAGTGGAATTGCTGCAAAAAATGGATAAAGACCTATCCGTCTCAAAATTATGCGAGAAGTATGGCAAAGTCCACTATATATGACACAAGAAAAAGGAACTTTTTGAATTTTTTGTGGAAGCATCTTAAACAACTTACATTGAAAGAAATGTTTAATAAAGTAAACAAATAAATATTAAGCTCTTTTTTTTTTTTTTTTTTTTGTAAATTTTGATACCCTTTAGATCATAATTGTTCTTTATTTCATAAATTAAGATTTCATATTTTTAATTGTATCATTTCTGCATGCCATCTTACCAGATTTAAATTGATGATCTATAATCAGGAAAAATCCCTAATCTAGAATCGCCAAAGTCCCGACGAGTTTGGATTATGGACTTCATACTGTATTAGAAAAAGCATTTATTGCTGCATCATTGTGATATTAATTAAACTGTTTATTACTGCACATTAAAAATTTATCTGAAAAAATTAGTAATCAGAAAAATGATAAATATATATATTTTTTATTTTCAGATAGTTTTTTAATATCATGGCATCATATTTTTTATAATCCTCTCATTAGAATAAACTGATAAGATGATCAGTAATAACAACTGAAATATAGACATATTAAATTAGCTAAGCTGCCTTAATCTTTTTTTTTAATTACATAAAATTAAGATAAAAGGTAATATATAATAAGAGAATAAGAAATACAATAAGGCATACTTGAGAAAAATTCTTCACCACTTTCTTCTGATGCAGAATAGTCTTTATCACTTATCTAGAAAATGAAATTATAATTACATACAGCAGAGATAAGCCAGAAGAAATGTTACAGGAAAAGAAAAATGTATTAGAAGATTTATAAATATGACAAATAAAAGCTGATGATAGGGTAACATGACAACAAAAATTCTAAATATAAAAGAAAACATTTTATTTTAAATTCAAATGGTTAAAAAATATCACTACACACAAAAAAATAAATAAAAATGCAGTATAAATAGAAGAGTGCAATACAGAATATTAAGAAAACAGCAAGTATATAAGGTTATATCGGTTAATGATGGTCAGCATCTGCATAAACTTTTGCACTCAATGCACTCCTGTAAGAAAAGAGCAACAGCCAGATTTAAAACAGAACAATGTTTTTGAATCATTTATGGTTACATGAAATGAAGGCCCAGTTTTTGGAATGATTATCTGCATTAAAATTTTAAGATAATTCTCAGATTTATTTTTCTGCAAGAAAAGAAAGTGTTGATGTGAAATAATCTTTTTATGAGTCCAATGATTATGATTACTTACCATGCAAACAACTAGTTAAAAGGCTGGCAGTCTAAAATTGAGCTAACCAGTTATTTATCTTCTACCTCAAGCAAATTTATAGGATATATAATCATGAAAGTAGGGAGGACAGGAGAAACCCTAAACCTGCTTCTCTCAGGAACTAGCTTTAAGCAACTAGACACTCCATATTCAAAACATATAATCAACTACCACTCAGGAATTTACATTTAAGTACCATATACAGGGGTGTTTGTGGGACCCCAAAAAATCCCCTGAAACTTTTACAGACTTACTTATCGACATTTTGGAGTTTCGAGAAGGGGGGGGGAGAGAAATGAAAAATTACAATTATGAAGTATTGAATGACCTAATTATAAAAGTTCAATGACTTACTTTTTTTTGCAAAATTAATAACCATAAATTTTCAAACATATAAACTACTTACATTTTATGAAAATATTTTAAATTACCTGAATTAATTCTTTAAAAAAAAATTATCTAATTTCTGCTGCTTTTTTTTTTTATTTTCTGATGTTTGTGGGCTTGTCTTTCTTTTGTGGTGAACTTCATAATTGCAGGAAGGTTGACTTTTATTTTCCTCATTTACAGTTGAAGAAATTTCCTCGAGAACTGCACATGCAGAGGTAGAAGCAGTTTGCTTTTCTGCTAATGTAGAAGGTTTTTCAGAGACTTTTATAGGTGACTCATCTGAAATACATGTTTTTAAGTCCTCTTGATATGTTTTCCAACTTCTGTTCATATTCAGTAAGAGATCTTTGTGAATTGGATCAGTCATTGGATTTTTTGAGCCATATTTTTCACATGAGGTTTCTTTAGAAGCCATTAAATCATATTTAATAGTCTGCACTGCATCTAGGGAATCAATCTTAAGAGAGGTTCTATAGTCAGTGACAAGTGTATCCATCAAGTTGAATGCACTTTCCACTAATGGGCCATGGAAGCAGCTAAGGCAGGCTTTGACCAATTTAGCCAATGTAGGATACTTATAATCATTTGTGAAATCATCTTTTAAATTAAAAACTTTAGACCAATATTTATCAATTGTACACTTGACTTGATTTCCACTTTCATCAGATGTGTAGAGCATTTCTTTGGTGATATCAATATCACTCTGGTATAACCTTATTTCAGCTTCTACTTTTGACTTTTCATTATCACTAAAAATATGGGACATAAAAAGATGATAATTTCTTCAAAAGCTAATATTGTACTGGTTTTACCTCTTAGCTCTGGATCTAATGCTGTAAAACTAATTAGATATGAATTTTTAAGGGGTAATTTCTGTTTCATATGCTGTGCTGTATTAGTATAAGCTTTCATCAGAGAAATTTGGAATTATTTTGCTATTGGATGATTTTTTGATAATTTCTTCAGGAGAGTGGAAGCTTCTGCACCAGTAAATATTACTTTGCTAGGTAGATGGAATTCTGGATTTGTGACATCAACCTTTAATAAATCATTATAAGATGTTCACTCTATATTTTCTGGCTTCATAAAAAAAGAGAAAAACTGTGCCATCAATTTATAAATACTGGAATGTATTAAATGAAGCACTGTTTTTTTTTTTTTTTTTTTTTTTTTCCAATAATTTAATATATGTGTTGAACTCTGGTAATACTGCTGAATATAATGCCATATGCAATAAAGTTTTGTTTTGCATAACAAATAACCCATTTAGTATTCTTTTTTTCGGAGCTAAAGCATCCTTTGTGAGTTGTTGGGAATGCAAGCAAGAATACACCCCTTCAACAATTTTTTTCTGAGCTGCAGAAATATTTCTTTTATTGTATACAATTTCAACATAAGAAAAATAATCCCCTTTATCAGTTTTATCCAAGTAGTGAAAATAAAATGCAATAAGAGCATCCCACAGATCTTTGATTCTTTCTAAAACACATAAAATGTACATCCACCTATGGTCTGGTCTCTTCAAGGGCTTAAGTTTTTTAATGGCAAGGGATTCACAGATTTTGAAAAAATTTTCTCTTTTACTGCAGCTTTTCATATCAAAATAGATGTCATCAAACAAATCTTCTAAGTATCTATCAAAACATGAAGCAAATTTTTTTGGACAGTTATTAGCTGTGTGACATGTGTCACCATCAATATCTAATAAGTGGGGTGCTTTGTTTGATCGTAGTCTGGTTTCAACACCCTTTTTTTTTTCCATGCATGGTGTTACACGAGTCCATTAATACACTAATTAAGTTTGCCCATGGAATATTATTATCTTCAATAGTATTAACAAACTGCTTTTTAAAAACAGCTTCTGAATTGCAAGATTCCATCTTTAGAGATGCAAAATGATGAACTACAACTTCATTTTGATTGTTGTCATAAAACTGCAACAATATTGCCAGTATACTTTCTTGAGCATTGCTAGTACTTTCATCCAAATTTAGAGAAAATGGAGTCTCCTTTAAAGTTTTAATGATATTTTCCTTAATAGTTTTTGCGAGCCCATATTTCATCTTATAACATGCAGTAGTCCTGGACATTTCCAACGAGTTTAATGCCGTCTGATCGCGGCTCAACTGTTTGCAGAGTTCAATTAAATTGGGAGCTAGATTGGAAGAAAGAGAATTCTCGGCGATAAACGAAGTTATTAATACCTCTTGGCGTGCTTTTCTTGTCACTATATCCAATGGCCGAGCATCAGTCTCCAGTAAGTCATCAGTATTTTTTGAATTTTCATAATTACTTAAAGTCATTGAATGTTATGTGCGTCACAGTTTTAGAATGATTTGTGAAAGCCTTGAATCCTTCCCCACCATACTTCAGCAGTCAGTTACAAAAAACACAATATGCTTGTCCAGCAACATTTATTTTTTTGCACCATGTGCCAATGGTATCCCCATTACCATCTCTCCGTTCAATCCAATTCCACCTAAATGCATTACGGACACCTTCTTCTAATTGTTAAATATCACTATTTATATCGAGAAATTTCATAGTGAAATTCTCTTGAGTACATAAATAAAAAAATATTTCAATAAACGAAACGAAAAATTTACACGTGCATCAATAAACGAAACGAAAATTTTACACAGCGGAGAAAAAAAAGTTGAAAAGCGATCAATGACAAATAGCTAATACGGCGAAAAATCCCCCTTCTCTACTTATTGGCGCCACGCCAGGACGGTTATTCTACGCTACGAGAGTCGACAGCAAGTTGTGGGCCGCCAGATGTCGCTGCTAGTAAAAAACAGGTCTACCCGACATCCTATATTCTCTGAGTACGAAAGTTGTCGAAAGCGCGTGAAAAAATGTTGCCGCGTCGTCAATCAGGGTTGTCTAGTTGACGTACTAAGTAGACAATGACTTTGTATGCGTTTTCGCCGCTGATTTTTTCATATTTAAACGAAGAATACGGTCGTAGATCTCTGAATCGGTGGCGAATTTATAGAAAATATGTTGATGCTTTTGCTCTGCCAAAAGATGTTTTCATTGCATATTTCAGATTCCCAAAATTTATAGTTATTTTAATTTGGGGTGAACTGAGAGAGTATTTGGAGCCACATTCAGAAAACAAGAACGCAATTTCTACTAAAAGAAAGGTATAACTATTCCTGAAATTATAGATATAAATTGTAATTGTACGCTTTAAAAATGTAGAAGATAATAAGTTTATCAAGCACATAAACCTTCTTCATTTAATACAAATATAGACATCCGATAAGCTTCTACTCGATTTATGTACAGCAAGAATTACGTTTACTTTAAAATCTAACAGTTGAATACCTTACGAATAATACTGTGAACACAAAAATGTCGTTCATTATTACGCGAAATTCACACTACTGTAAAATAAAATTAAAAAAAAAAAATAATAATAATAATTATAAAACTATAAAATAGATTATAATATTTTTTTCAGTAATTGTACTACTATTAGTGTGATACTTTTAAAAATAAGTTTTAGCCCAGAGGGGCTATTTAATTTCGTTTTGCCATTTTGGTGGCGTTTCACGATAAATGGCGTTTCACTTTTCAAATCGTTGCCACCAAGTATTATCGCACTCTATTATATTTAAAGAAATTAAATAATGAGGAATCTGCAGAATGCATGAATGTTTCTCGCACTGTGATAAAACAACGGTACCTAGAGCCATGAAATTCTGAATAACGTAATCCTCCATCCTAATAGAGGCATCTGGAGGGCCAAATTTTAACTGGGAATTTGTATTACTATCCATTTCATATATCATATTTTGTAAAGCATTTATGAGTTTTTGATTAAGAAACCCAACGATTTCAAAGCGAGCAATGGCAAAAAACATTTTCATCTCTAGCGCGCGAGACTATGTATCGGAAATTCTAAAGATATGCTTTTTTTTAATTATATGATATTGCTGTTGAATTGAATTTTATGGTTTAAGTGCGAAAAACATGATATTTAATAAATAAAGGTAACACGCAAAACGTTAAAAAAAATGGCCCTTTGGAAGTAATATAAAATCTGAAGGCTTT